AACTGTGTACGTCGCTCGCCGTGTTTGGTATGTGTGAGAAACCTTCCTCCAAAGTAAGCGCTCAAGGGCTATGGACGAGCGGGTGACGCGACCTCGACACGGCGAGTGCGCCCCAACTACGTTGTACCATACGACGCATCGGTAGACACCGTCACACACACGCTCACCTTCCTTCGGGTGCTTGACCCGTAGGGCGAGCTGCGCCTTCTGAGGCGTGAGGCGTTCAATCTCGCCGTCCTTATCGTCGTTCGCCTGGCGGAGTCGAACGGGGTCCTGGTATGATTGTCCACAGCACAGCGCACAGTACACGGAAACGGAGGAGGAGGTGGTGTCATCTATATGACACACGAACAGCAAGTAGTGCGGCTTTAAACTCGCATTACCTTCGGCTAATGCACGGCGTCACCAAAACATTGACGACCGTGTCCCTTCTCGTAATAGCCAAAAATGTGAGCGCCTTCGGTGTCTAGATGATCGGTGCCCAGGGTGTTAAGAAGCACGATGACCACTAGACTAGACTTATTCGATAAAGGCTGACCATTTGACTACGTGCACAGTCATCGATGATTGTGCACGTAGTCAAATGGTCGGCCTTTATCGGATAAGACTACCAGTCAGCGCTGACTTGTAGTTTAGTGGTCACCATGTTTCTCAACAAACGTTAATGCCCGGGTCCGTCAAGCTTTCTTTCAATCCACGAACACGTCCCCCCAGGGTTGCCATGCCTGTGATGAGCGCTGTCTTACCCGGAAAATTCTCCAAACATGTCCTACCAAGAACGACGTCATTCTAGTTCCGATAGATATGGCCCAATTCTCTCTCGATACCCTCTCGAAACAATACCCATGTCCTCTCGAAACAATGCTATCTACAGAACTCCTAACTCAATATCAATTGTTTTGCTTCTTAGCTTCGTTACATCAGCAGCGAATGTTTCCTTCCGACACAAATCTCCCGAATTTCCTTTTTGACAACAGAGATATACGCACACTAGACCATCCAACCCTCAAGACACGGATTTCGAAGAGGGGAGATACTTAATTTCGAAAATGTTTCCCTTCTGCAGCATCTTGACATTTTCACACCTCTTGTGCTTGCGTTGCGATTGTTACCACAGATAAAGTACCTCGCTGCTAATGCAGCAGGTGGCGACATAGAAGAAGCAGCGAAGTGGAAGACACAGGTCAAGCATCGACGGTTGCGTACGACACGAGGTGCTCGAGACGCCGTGAAGCAATGCGCGCTGCTCTGACCGAAGGTAGGAGGCTACGACGGCAGTACTTCTGTGCAACGAATGGTAGATTTCGCACCACGACAGAGGAGAACATGGCAAACTCTATCATGCAATCGCATCGGTCGCTCAAGATGTGCCGAAATTGTTGTGCCGAAAACGTAACTTGCGAAGCAGCCAGAGACGGATGGAGGGGGTTCACGGTCTGAGCCATACCCTACAGGGGGAGAGTCGCTCGGACTTTCAAAGCGCGGCAGCTCACCTAGTCACCGCACGTGCCTGTGGTGCCTAAATAGTCAATGATGAATGCATGCCACAGCTATTACTGTACGGTAGTTCAAACTATGCACAGTTGCATGTGAATTGCCTACTCAGTCCAAATAATGTGGAAGGAGAGAGAGATGATAGACCAGCGCCGACGATAGCGGGGGGGGATATGACTTCCATCTGCCGACTTGACACGACACCGCGACCGGGTTAACATGCGCGTGCACAGCCGAATATTTCAGTAATAACCTGGCGGTGGTGGTGATGCCGGATAAATCTTCGTCAGCCACCGTTGCGACCGTGGTTCCCCCGATGGAAGAATTCATTGCCATGATACTTCATGCGATCGAAACCTGGAGCAATAGGGCTGCTACGGACGTGCGCACAACGCGGTCGGAGTGGGGACGGCCTTACAGTAGCACTGACCTGATGGTGGTGGTGATGCCGGCCGGACAAATCATTTTCAGCCGCCGTCGCGACCTAGAGTTCCTCCATCGAAGAGTTCATTGACATGACGACACCCCATGCGATCATGCGGTCTTGTCAACGAACTATTCCATCGACGGCACTTTGGTCGCGACGGCGGCTGACAGAGAGTTGGCCAGCATCACCACCACCATCAGATCAGAGAAACGTTCGGCTGTGGAATCGAGCGCCACGAGCGATTTTCGGACGAAGGATGTTGTACATAGGTATACCGTAAGGTTTCGAGTCAGCGCACAGGGGTGCGAGCGACTGTCCAAGCGTAATTTCTCCACAGCCAAAAGGGTGCGAGGGCCAAGTGATACTTCTCAGGAAAGATCTCGATGAGATATTTTTAAAACCGCCATTTTCAACAGTGACAACCTCTTGGTTGTGGAGAAGAAATGCTTAGAAAATCGCTCGCACCCCTGTACGCTCTCTCGCAACCTTACGGTAGTGAAAGTGTCCTTGTTGGTGGTGGCGGTGGTGGTGTTGTCCTGCCTTTTCTGTTGCTGGTGCAGGGCAATAGTCAAGAGGGAAACAAGGAGAGCTGTGTAGTTGTGTGCAGTGTATGCGCGTGCCGGGGGGTTAACGAAAGACGGCGCGTCGGTTGCGGTTCGGGATGACTGCTGCGAGCTACCGCATACGGTGCTAACTTTGCCCCTCGGCTTTGGCTCGTTCCCAGCAGCGGACGGTACGGATGTTTTCTTGCATGGCGTCCGGAGTCGTCGTAGCCAACGCGGTCGAGCAAAAATGGCGGAGAAGCCACTGACGCACACTGACGCATCGGTACACGAAAATTGCGGGTACTTGATGTATTTCTTTTGTTGTAGATGCATGTGCACTCTGCTGGAACGATACACTATGAATGTGTACCAGGGGTATGCACCGCAATGCACAATAGCCAAGCATTCCCACCGTAGTACCCTCGTTTGAACGTCCCTCGAACATGCAACACGACGCCTTCCACAGGAAACGGGCGGTGCCCAGGCCTGCCGTTCATAAGGCATGTGTGGGTGGCTTCAATGCAGGCCTAGCAGCGACGACTGCATTGGTCACCAAGCGCATAGAATCCGTGAGTGGAATGGCGACGACTTGGCACGAACTCATACTTTGCGCGAGAAAAAGCCATTTGCCTCCCAAAAAATGTAGAAGCTGATACGCCGAAAATGACGCTACTAAACCGTAAGGGGGAGACGTCATTTCCAGGCGATCTTGGGAAGAAAAAACATCCTCCTTTGTTCATTGGAGTTTCTCAGAGATCCTACTAGAGGGCAAGTTCTCTTATATTGAGCTGAAACGTCCCCGGTCTTGTTCGTCTTTGTCACCCCGTCTTTTTCTCCACCGTATGCTATCTCTTTGTCTGTTCACCCCGCCTTAGATGGACGACGATGCGAGGAATAGCTTCATGGACAACAACGCCAACCTGCTGCTGGAGGCTGACGCCGAGCGTGACACTTCAGAAGAAGTTGCGACAGCAAGGGACGCCCAACAAGTACAGCAGGTACGGTGCAATACGTCCGAGATGATTGCCACTATTTTCGTCGAAAAAATGCTGTACTTGTCGAAACGATACTAGGAGTCGTTGGTTTCCCCGTGAAGCGACTTCGATGGTTTGATTTGGTTGTTGCAAAGGTTTCGGCTATCCAGCTTGCAGAGCATTTGTTGGGTTGTCCCCTCATTTCGACTTTACTGGGGCAGATAGTGGCATACACCATCCGTGTTGCTGTCCGTATCCAGCCTTTCCGATCGGCGGGAAACGCGAAACGAATGCAGTTCCACCGCTTTCGCTTTTTCGACATGCTTCATGCTGCCCCCCTGATTCCCCGCATCCTGACTAAACAGAGAGAGGAAGCGCAGGAGAGAGCGCGAAAAGCTTTCGAAGAGAATTGGCAGAAGTTCAGCGCGAGAAGGAGGCCTTGTCGAAGAAGCAGGAGCTTGAAACGGCCAGGGCAGCGGAGGAAGCCGAACAAAACCTAAAACAAGCGGAACAGGAACGACAGGCACGCATGAGTGTTTTGTGTGCTGTTGGGTATAGAGAGACTAACAACACGGGGGCTTGAGAACTCTGCGAGAGTCCACAAAGGTCCCCGGATTTCCCGGAAACCAGGTCCGCGTCAACGTGGATGAATGCGTTAATACAAATGGAACCAAGTGTGTGAAAGTATTGGCGAGCTCTTGGTGTGCTGAATCTCCTCCCGCGGGTGTCGGACCCCTTTTCAACATCACAATACATAGCTTTCTGATTGTTTGCCTCAATGCTATGCCGCAATTTTCTCCTGCACCCGATTAAGTAGGAGCGAAACAAAGCTGCAGACCCGAAGGAAACGAAGGAAGACACGGGCGTCGATAGCAGCGCTGCAACTACCGCCGGCAGTGGAACTGCTGCTGCGCACTCAAGGCTGCAGAGAATAGTTCCCGGGGAGACGAGGAAGGATGCCCCAATCTCTGGTGTGCAAGATTTCTCTGGCACAGGAGCTGGCGGAGCGCACTACCCGGAGCTACCCTGGGCGGTGCAAGCCATGGGAGTCGAAGCGGAGAAAGCATGGGTGCCTGTCGAGGAACGGGAATAAAAAAGCAGGGAAGGCGCGGAAGCGACTCCTGTGAAATGCTCGAGGAGGCTCTTACACGTGGAACACGCACTCAGGGGTTGCAGTCTGCGCTTGAAGACTACCACACAAACGAGGTCAATGCTTTGCCAGCCTTGGTGGTAGAAAAGGAAGCCTACGCCGGTTTCAAGGATGAGCGCACCATCGAAGACCGGAATGACCCAGCGCATCGAGGCATGGCGGAGAGCGTGAAGGGCTTGAAGGTTCCACTGAAAAAGGAGCGTGCATCAAGCGAAGCGGTCGGCGGCCAAGCCGGTTTGGAACCAGACCTTGAGCGAGATGCCGCCACGGAGGATGACGCCGCCATAGCACTGTCAAACGACCGCCGGCAACAGAGTATACGAATGACGGAGAGCGTGAAGGGATTGGAGTTTCCACTGGCACAGGAAAGTGCTCCAAGCGAAGCACTCAACGGCCAAGCCGGTTCGGAAGCAGACCTTGAGCGAGAAGCCGCCTCGGAGGATAGCGCCGGCGTCGAACTCTCAAACAGCGGCTGGCACCAAAAAGAAGCGGCAGCAACAGGAGCAGTTCTAGTGAAACGGGGTGCTCTTCATGACGGCTTGAAATATACTGGTGGTGCTTTCCAGAAATCTCGTGAGTACCCTGAGGCACTCAGTGCTGAGAACGTTGAGGACTCTGAGTTATCATTGGTGGAACAGAAGGAACCGCCGCGTGAGAGACTTGGTGAAGGAGAAGCAGCGGCAGAGACCGGCTTCGACGGCGGGTCGGAAAACAGCACCGTCACAAACCTTGCGAACGACCGCGTTTTTCTGGAAGCCTTCATGGAGGAGCATGTTCAGGGCTCTGAAACACCGTTGGTACAGCAAGATGGACCGACAAGCAATTTCGATGATCCAGACGATGAATCGGCAACGGCGTATGGACAAAGTTTGGTTCAGAGGATACCCTAGAACCCATCTATCACGAGGGGCTCATTGCCGAACATGTTGGTGGGTTTGAGAGCGATGATTTATGTGTTCAGGATGTTGGCCTTCTGCGCGACACGGTCGCCTACCCAGCCGCTGAAACACCAGCAGAAATCAGAAAGAGCCTGCATGTTGGTGGCGGACTTACCGATGATTTACCCAATGCTTTTCCGTTCATTGGAGTATGCTGAGGGAGCTTTGCGTAGCGAGGGCAGCTGAGATGACTTAAATGAAAAGGCGGAGCTGTTTTCAACATTTACCATCTGACCTGACGGATTCAGGAAAATAGGAGTAGCACGAATTGAATACCGACGGTGTATTCATCAGTTGAGCGGTCACACAGTTCATCAGAGCCACGGAATGCCTCGTCGGTTTGTCTGACATGTTTCTTGGACTTTTTTCAAGAACGGACACTGTACTGCTAGACCAAGACTCGGCAGTCCCATTCGTGTCCATATCTTTCTTTCTGGCGTACTGGCGCACACGTGCGATAGCAGCAGATTTGGCTTGGGCGGATCATGGTATGTTCTTACAGTGAACTCCAACCACCAATGTCAGATACCTCGTGTCTCGTGAATGTACAGTGGGCACGATGCCAAAGTGACCGTTTCTGAAAGCCATCCCTAGGGGTACGCTCGTTGTCTGGAATTTTCCATGCTGACACACAACAATTCACGGAACACAAGCAATGTGAACGACACCAGGGGGTGCTGAAGAGAAGGTGTCATCATGCACTGGTGGTACATCCAGATGCAGCGAAGCTGTTGTACTGCTGTGCCGTGGTTGAGTGGTCTGGGCGTGTCAGAGAAAACGCGGCTACTGCACGGCTTAATAATGTATTCCAGCTCGAGCGAGAAATACCAGAATTCATCAGGGCAGCATGAAGCTATCGCTGAGAAAGTACAGCAGTCTAGACGTGTAGATAGACTAGACCTGGATGCGGTAGGCCCGTGGGTCTGTTTGAGTCGGACACACATGTCGGATCAGGTGGATTTGGAAGATATCACCACCGCAGCTATGTAGTCTAGTGATATATCCATACGCTCCACGTCACCCTTGTGGATGGAGAAGGTTGAGAGTTGCTTCATGGTATTGCACATTCCTTGCGGCCCTGCACTACTCCTTGAGGTGGCCCATTCTGCAGTGCCACAGGTAGTTTCGATGACATGGTACAAAAATGTGACGGCCCATGGCTCACCATAAACTACTGACCCAAGCGTCGCTTCCAATAATTATCAGATGGCGGACCATGTGCAGCGCATGAGCGACCAACGACAACGATTGAGCGGTTCTCGGAACTCCGCAGGGTGTTGGTTGACTGGCGGCCCATGGTAGGTAGCCATTGGGCGGTTGATGACCCATGAAGGTCCTAGAGCGGCCCATGAGCGGCAAATCCAATTTCGACCCTTGACGGCCCACGGTGACTGACTCGTGGTGACACATTCCAGCCGCTGGGCCGACGAGGGTCTTGATGGATTGATGAACCTTTGGTACTGACTGGATCGACAACAACCACCCGTTTGAGTGCCCAAGCGGGCAACCAGCACGGGCAGGTGACATGCAGTTGGGATGACCACTGCAGATATTCAATCCTCATTGAATAAGATGCTTAGACTATAGGTGGAGTGACTGGGAGACCATGAGACCAGTAAGAACTCACGACCGGCAGGTCCCGGGCCGCCGGGTCGAAAGGTCAAAGGGAAAAAGTGACTGGACCACCGGAAAGAAGAACCAGTTCAAGAACTACTGTGCCTATTGACCTCGTTGACCGAGCTGAACTGATCTACTATAATGTGGTGCTGGTTCTTAGTGCTTAGTGTCCGGTCTGTTGTTATTTCACTCATTTCACCGCCCGCCTCGTCTGGCACTCCCAGGGTTCATCTTCGGCCTTTCGAAGACCCCCGGTCGTGTGTCCTGTATTCACAGTCGTGCTGGCCACTGGATCTGTGTGTTTCGTCATGCGAGAGCTATGTATGAGCCGACACATTCGCTGGGAGGACGATCGGTCGAGAGTCGGGACTGAAGGTGGTAGACTAGGGTGTCGTCTACGTTGACTATTTGTAGTCTAGTCTACGTTGACAGTGTAGTCTACAGCAGCATGGGTCGACCTACATGCAGGGGTGAGGCGCCGCGCGGGGTAAGGAGCAGCTGGTGGCGGTGGTGGCGGAGGTTATCCCAGGAGCCAAACACGTGTGCCAACTTCCTTGGGCTTTCTATGGCTGCAAAAAGAAGGGCCCTGCGGTAGGCGTCCAAGGCAAGTGCTGACGGAAATGTTCTCATTTTTTCGTTCTTATTTCTTGCGAAGATGCTGCGGCTGCTATTGTCGAAACAAGAGCGCCGGCGATTCACAACGATTTCTTGTCCATCCAAAAGTCCGTATAGCTTGTACGACACTGGAACCTATAGGAGACGTGGCGACGGAAGCCTTGAGCGCTCTCGAGATGGAAGCTCTGCACGCTAACCGGCGGCAACTAAAATTAAATTCCTACTAGACTAGCAGCGTATAGCCGGCAACGGTCGTTTGAATTTTTCATGCACCGGGAGCATCGCGGCATATAGACTACATGCATACTGTAGGTGCAGCTGCCATTGTACGACCGGCAAACCATTGCCATGACATGAGGCATCGGTGCTTTGATTTTGCCGTAAAGACGAAGAAGGCGGCACTTTCCGAGAGGTATTGTAGTCTGCTGCTGTCGGTGGCTGCCGTAGGCGGATACAACCTACCAAGTTGGTGTGTGGTGAGTCACGTTTCGTGCCGTTTCCACCACACGTGCCGCACATGTCAACAACAGTACTGCTGCTGCGGCTTCTCAGCCGATGTGAGTTTTAATGCGTACTGCCAAAGGCAAGTTAAGAAGGAGCGGGCACCCTTGGCTTACTTGATTTGGCACGCTATCCACTTTGGGACAAGAGCGCTGCAACACGTAAAACTAGACTATAGACTAGTGTAGGGCCGTTTATGTCAATTTCTTCAGGAGATTGACGCTTTATAGCAGTGCTATGCTGCACACCGGCACGAGCTACTGGAACAAGCTGGAACATTGACTAAAGATCGAGTGACGCGGACTATAACCTTCTTGTACCAGACTGTACCTGCGCTGCTGTACAATGGTCGGTCGACGACGGCACACCCTCACACGAGAACGACGTGAGACAGCCCCTTGGAAAGCGTTTCATGAACATGCCACCGTATCATGTAGCCCAAAAATACAGACTGCGTGTGCCCCTCCCGGAGCCTGCTTGACAGCACTTTCAGTTATTCAGAAACCACCTGGATCCTGCTCTTCTGTGCCCAGCGCGTACAGGGAGAAGGAGAAAGAAGAGGAGAGAGCGAACAACGCCCGGCCACGTTGTGGTTGGGTGCCGTCGTGCCGTCGAACTAAGGTAGGGGCATCGCCGGATCTCTCCGTATCTGAAAACAGCCCGTTGCGTGCCAGGCGTCGTTTTTTTGTTAATTAACAGGAAGGCGCAAGATCATACGGAATGTAGGAGCTTGGTCCCAACCGATAGGGCTCAAGCCAGAGGTACGTGTAGAACCAACGAGTGTGGATCCCACTCGTCAGGCTTCTTGTGCCGATGACAGCAGTTGCATGGTTGCAATAGGATGCGATTCCAGCCTAACCGTTCGTGTTTTTTTGGAACCTTTGTTGGTTGATTTGGTCTCTTGACGCGTGTTTCATGTTGCGTACAGCAGTAAACTAGTCTAGACTAGACTACTGGTGTCGATATCTTGTTACGGCGGTTTGGCTGCATGCTTTGCATACTAGGTTGGAGCACACCATGTCGTCCGTAACCGCCTCTTTCTCCTTTACACTTGATACACGCGCAGCTCAGCGTCTCGGGGCTCGTGCAAACAACCGGTAGAATTGGTAAATGTTGGGCAACAGCAGTCTTCCACAATCGAATCGGCTGCTGTAACAGTAGAGTCAGTACAAAGCTCCCCCAGCAGCAAGAGTGAGTAGCAGGCTTGTTTCATGACAGCGTGCTGTCGAAAGGCGAGCCCCTTGTAGTAAGGCTGGTTTACGTCGAACGTGTGTTTGCATACTCTGCCTGTATCCCCCTTTCCCTCGATCGATGCCCAGCTTCGCGTTTCTCAGCTCGAAGAGAGAAATCGTACAATCGCCACTAATAGACTTTTGTACTGCCGTGCACGCGGCACGCCCGCGGACGCGCGCGGCCGGTGCATGACTCATTCAAAAAACAATTTTGCACACAAACATCTGTTTTTGCATTGAAACCGGGCGGTTGATCTTGTTTCCCGCAGGGGGAGACCCCTGGACTCTTATTTGGATACAGATGAATAGACTAACCGTTGTGTTTTTTTACGAACACAAGCTTGGACCGGAGTTCTGGGTACACCACATTTGACGTGAGATGTCACACCCCTTGGACCGATTTCAACGGTCGATCACATCAAGGCAGAAAAATTGGCATCCTGAAAATGATAATGGCGACGTTGAACCGCGTCGTTCTTATGTAGAGCTTTCCGAAAACGCATCGTTTGTTTTACCTTCGTAGAGAAATCGAGGTTTGCAAACTGGTCGAGGGGGTATGATTTCTTATGTCACCTACGCATACGGCGGCCGAGCGGCCGTTTTTTTGCAACTCGAGCCACGTGTCTGCCGATCCATCTCATTCATTCCTGGTACCCGCTTGGTACGAGGGAAAAGAGAGGCAGTGAATGATACTACCGTTTATTTCCATGTTGGGGTTCTAGAAGTGTGTATCTTTTTGGGTCGTTGGCCTGTGACCACGGAAAGGCGTTCCGCGTCAGTTGGACAGGAACGGATGTTAGAAGCAACTGAGCAGAGACCTCAACGGAGACAACAACAACATTTCATCTTGACGCTTAACAATTCTCATGATCTCCTGGCACCGTCCGTTGTACACCCCTCGTTTTATTTTCCTTACGAAAACACGCTGTTGCCCGTTTTCCCCCTCTCTAGGGCGGGGTGTGTGCGGCTGCCTCAGCACTACCGCTGCCAAGATGGTGCGCTGGTCGAACCTATCGGGGGTTGATAAGAAGGTGCGTCTTTTGGGCGGCATAGTCTAGTGTGGATTGTACACTACCAGGTGGAGAAGTTCGAAACATTGTGGAGAAAGCCAGCTCGGCCGAGACCGACCGAGATGGATGTCTAAGCCTTACACTAAAGCTACCGCTCGTTGTGTTCCGAAGAAGTGTCTACCTCTCCTGGTTGCGAGTGAGTCTGACTGACGTGGGCAACACACCGGAGTGGTTCCCTGCAAAACGAACGTTTAACATGAGCCAAGATGCTGCGCTCACGGCAACCAAAGGCAGGACGATGTACTCCATACCTGAACAACAACAGTACTTGATCGCAATCTTTCGCAAACTGCAGCTAACACATTCAAAGTAGTATATGCAATTCTGTACTACAGCACAGCAGTAAAAAGTACAGAGGCCCAGCATCCATCCATCGACATTGTATGAGATGCTACAAGGTCACAAGTTTTATCCTTGACCACACCAGCCATTACACGCATCCGCCCTGATTCCACCCCCACCATGTGACCGAACCAATGGAGGACCGGGAGCCAAAAAATGGTCTCGCACGGCTTCCGCTTCCTTCGCGCGTTAGGGTAGCGTGTGGGTCAATCGCAACAACGATTGCAAACTCAGTTTTTCACGCCTTTCAACGGTTGACGGGCCACACCAGGTCCTTGGAAAAAAAACGTAAATACACACGTTCAAAGAGAGCGTGGGTAAGAAGCTACACACGGAATGTACTTGCGTCGCTGAAGAAACCGGAAACAAACGTCTTGTTTGTGCGTTCGATCGTACGACAACGCCCGCGGTCCAAACGAGCACCAAAACAGACAAGTGGATGGCTCCTTTCGTTCCCGTCCCTGCTGCGTGTCAAGCAGCTCGATGTTGTTTGGCACGTCACGACCAACCCTTTTTGCTTGTGCATGCACGCACGCGTGGCGCTGCTTCTGTGGCTGCCACTATTAGCCTGTTGTCTGCTCAATAAATTACTGCTGTGCTTCTCCTGCCGCCACCACCCTGAACCTCAGACTCTGGTAGATGTCTTAGACCCGGGCCATCTCGAGGAACTTCGCGAAGGGGAGTCGCGCGAGCTGAAGAGGGTTCCCCGCCTTGTGAAGAAGGCTGTGCGGAGGAAGAGGTGAGACAAGCTTGGACAGCAGTTCTTAGCCCTCGTTTGCATAAGATGACATGATGAGACCTTGTTATTCTTCCCCAGGGACAACATAAACAGGTCGTGTCGGCTTTCATGTGGATCCCAAGAACGCAAGTGGGAAGAGTGGATTGTTTCGGTCCATTCACGCGGTTGCTCCATGCCAAATTCTTTTCAAGGAGTGAGAGTTTGCGACCTTTCAGCGGCAGCGTGTTACACCAGCTCGCGCGCGCGCTACGTCAAGTGGGGGGTCTGGAGGCACGGCGCTGGGAAATTTGTGATGGGCTTCTTTTCCTTTCCGTCGGTGTGTGACGTGTGTTGAGACGTGTCGTTCATGATTCTCCAAAGAACGCGCTACATTGCTACCTCGGAGGAGATTGTGGCGCATGTCGCGAGAGCAAAAGAAGGTGTGAAATGCCTGTAGCTTAGATTCGATTCATAGGTTGGACTCGAAATCCAGGTGGCTTTCTGGCACACGTTACACGTTGGAATTCAGTCCGCCGGCATTAGACACGAGCCTACCAATGCGCACGTCGTTCTCTGCACGGCGTATTTTCTCCGATGTTTTGTGCAATCTACAGCCGACCTTGACCTGAGAGTGATTTTATGTAAATTTTCATGCGCTGTTTGTGTGTGTGTCTTCTCCCTCTTCCGCGCGCGCGCCCCGAGTGCAAGAGATGGAATTGTTGTGTCTTTTGCAGCACTTCCGCCCGATAAGTAGAGGAAGTGAGTTGAAACAAGTACCGTTTCTCGTTTGGCTGTATTTCGTTCCTTCGCTATTCAGGTTCCGAAGAAATGTGACATCTCGCTTGCTTTTTTTCCAGGCACGACCCCACTCATAACGACGCCACATGCATCACTGCAACAAAAAACGAACAAGCAATTCCTCCGCTTGAAAGCATGTTTAGAACGCTGAGCGCGCATGCTTCGTGGGGCATCTTCGTAACAATCGCTGTATTTGCAGACGTGTGAAGGATATCACAAATATCCTTGAGCTCACCTGGATCCTCAAGCCTGAGTTCGTCAAAGGGCTCGTCGGTCTTCTGTCTCCGGACAACGCAGTGACACTCACCAGGTTGTCCGGAAACAGAAGGCCAACGAGACCTTTGACGAACTCAGGCTTGAGGACCCTGCTGTGCTCAAGGATATTGGTCATGTCCTTCACACGCCTGCAAATACAGCGGTTGTTATGAAGATGCCCCACGAAGCATGCGCGCTCAGCGTTCTTAACATGTTTTCAAGCGGAGGAATTGCTTGTTCGTCTTTTGTTGCAGTGATGCATGCGTAGTCGTTAAGAGTGGGGTCGTGCCTGGTAATAATCCGACAACAGCAGTGTTTGATCATTTTAGACTTGTGCACTTCCGCACTAGAAACACCAAGATGCCGGATGGAGAGAGACTGGTTTACTGTAATCTCTTTTTACTTTTGTCAAGTTAGGACTATCGAATTACAGGTGTCTTTCTGGCACACGTTACACGTTGGAATTCAGTTCGCCGGCATTTGACACGAGCCTACCAATGCGCACGTCGTTCTCTGCAAGGCGTATTTTCTCCGATGTTGTGTGCAGTCTACAGCCGACCTTGAACTGAGCGCGATTCACATGCGCTGTTTGTGTGTGTGTCTTCATTCTCCCCCCCGCGCGCTCCGAGTGCAGGAGATGGAATTGTTGTGGTTTTGCAGCACTTCCGCCCGATAAGTAGAGGAAGTGAGTTGAAACAAGTACCGTTTCTCGTTTGGCTGTATTTCGTTCCTTCGCTATCCAGGTTCCGAAAAATGTGACATCTCGCTTGCTTTTTTTCCAAGCACGACCCCACTCATAACGACGCCACATGCATCACTGCAACAAAAAACGAACAAGCAATTCCTCCGCTTGAAAGCATGTTTAGAACGCTGAGCGCGCATGCTTCGTGGGGCATCTTCATCATAATCGCTGTACTTGCAGGCGTGTGAAGGATGTCACAAATATCCTTGAGCACACCTCGATCCTCAAGCCTGAGTTCGTCAAAGGGCTCGTCGGTCTTCTGTCTCCGGACAACGCGGTGAGACACAAGTTTGTGATCCAACACAACTGCAGTGTTTGAACGTTGTAGACTGGTGCACTTCCGCGCTAGAGAGACCAAGCTACCGGATGGAGATAAGCTGGTGTACCGTAATCTCTTTTTGTTATTGCCAAGTCAGGACTATCCCTTCCCTCCGGACGACATTTCACCAGCTTATCCCGGGAATATCGCTTCTCTATACCAAAATCCCATCACCGCTGTATGCGTGTGTGCAAGCAGCATCATGTGTGCGTATCCGTGCGTAAGAAAGACGCCCGTGTTGCACAGATTGACAACGTTGGCCAATTACGTTCAGGGCTGGTAATCTGCGGCGAAGGGTGCCCCCTTCAGCGCGAACCACTCCGTGAAAGAACCGCTCAGACAGTTTGCGCTCTGCCGAGCTATTTGGTGTTTTGGAAGTTACGGACCGGAGCCTTTGGGTGTAAGCGGGAATGAATTTCACGAAGCGAAGCGGTGTTTCGAGAACCAGCGACCTCTCCATTCCTCTCCAACCTTGGCTCCATGGTTGTCGCTGCATGTTCTTCCAGGTCAACGGTACGGTATCGGGGAGAGATTCACCTCTTCCTGAATCGGCGAACGTGGACCCTGCAGCGTTCACGGAGGACGAGGAAGGGCCGCCTTTTGGTATGCATTCCACACCCAAGGAAATTCCCTCACCACCCGACCACCCGGGAGGTAAACAGCTGGTGCTCTATCAGCCTCTGCCGTTTGGGATGATCGTCCAAGACACGGAGGGTGCTGACGGCGGCGAGTCCCGGAATGGGGGGTCGCGCAATCCCAAAGGAGGTAAAGAGCTGATGCTCTACCGGCCCTCGCCGTTCGGGATGGTCGTCCGAGACATGGCGGGTGCTGACGGCGGCGAGTCCTGGGATGGGGGGTCGGCACGTGCGGTCGTGTCCGATGCGATGGGAACGTCGAATTGGGTGCTGGAAGGCCCACCCTCGCACATAGCGGTCGTGGATTCGGACGATGGTGCTGAAGACGAACAACATCCCCTTACCAAGCCTCCTCATGTGGAGTCGGTGACGCTCGAAACTGTGCTCGACTCCGCGCAGCCGGACGACAACGGCCTTTCATCGGCACGAGAGGTGTCTCCGGCTCTGGTTCGCTGGGGCGACAGGCGAATCACACAGCCGCATCCGGCCGTGGTTGGCGTGGTGTCCGCTATTATTGCCGGAGCAGTAGTCCTGTTATTACGTCAGTGGCGCGCACGGCGGACGCGTCTTCGGCGACAGGCGCTGGTGAGTCCCCAGGGGGTACTGAAGCGTCCTACCGCGTATGTTTCCGTTGCCGTTCCCCCACCAATCAAATAGGTTTCGCACGCAACATGGTGACCAAACCGACTCGTTGCGTACCTCACACCGATCTGGCGTTCGCTAGTGCTTTCGGCTTGCCAGATATGGTATCACTCGGAATGAAGTTTTACTATGCTACCACACAACCTTACCTGCTGGTTGCGTTTTTCGTACCTTGCTTGTTCACGTGTTCTTCATTCCCGTGTTTGCTTCGCCTGCACCCCTTGTCTTCACAGGGCCTTGCTCGACAGGACGCGCTTCGACGGGTGATCCTCCGGGACGCGGGCCGATCGCGCCAGCGGGAGGTCTCCGACTTCTGGCGTTGGCGGCTGGCGACGGCGACAGGAGTTGTGGCCGACCTCCGCGTCCAACACGAGCGAGCGGCGGCGGAGCACGAGGCAGCCCGCGCCGCCGACCGCGAAGCCGCCCAAGAGCGACAAGAAGCGGCGGTGGGGGTGGTGACGGCAATGGAGACGAGGCGACGCGAGTCGGCCGAGACAGCCCTCGACGAGGCCCGTGAAGCGGCAGCCGCCGACCGGGCGGAGCAGGAAGCCCTTGTTCACTCGACGGAGGGGTCTCTGGTGGAGACGCAGCGGGAGTTGCGTGAGACCAGGCAAGGCGTAACGGAGTCCCAGGGCGTTGTTGAGGAGCTGCAGCAGCAGCTGAAGAATATCGAGGTGCGTGCGCGGGTGGGAAGGGGTGGTATTCAGAGTGTTTGTTTGGCAGGGGGCTTGTTGTTAATGTTGTGGGGGATGCAAGAAGTGAAATAATATACAGCGCTGGGGCAGACCGAGTTGCACCGAGTGGCCGCGTCTTATGCTTCTGTTGCAGCAGTGTTGTTTCGTGACTAGAAAGAAGAACAAACATTTTTTGTCCTTCTGCAAGGCGAAACCGAAACATAAATCAACTGGAGCTTGTAGGGCGAGGTGTGACTATCAATTTTGGGGCCGCAGTCATGGTTTCACATTTTTTGCCTGCTTATCTTCTGTATTTTGTACTTACCTTGCTTGGTCACTTGTTATATATGCCATGTTTGCTTTGCCTGCAACCCTTGTCTTCACAGGACCTTGCTCGGCAGGACGCTGCTGGTGTAATGCAAAATACTGGTGTCATACAAAAACTGGTCACCGTGATTTCGTCACCGTCTCTTCTAGTCATGGCATTCGAAAGCGGCCTCGGGAACACAACCCTCGCGAGCACCGAATTCGGTGGTTGAAAGCAGAACACTGCGCTTGCGAATGTGAATTCCATGTGTTTTTACTCATTAATAGACTATATTGTATCAAACACTTGTCATTGCTACGAAATGCGGAATATTCCCATTTCGCCAGTGTCGGAGTCGCGAACTCGCTAGGTATTATTCTAGACAACACCACCGAGAGCACCGCGGCGACCAGCACGCGCCACGAGGAAAAGGGCGAGTGAGAAAGTAGGTCAAGGTATTTATTTAGTGCGGTCATCATGTCGTCTCGCTGTGGTCTTGCCGCTTGTGCGATGCCCCAGTAAGGCCCCCCGTGTGCTCGCGGCACACAATAGTGGGACTCAGAATTTCGTGCACCAAGTGAAAAACAACCGTACCCAGCCAGCCGCAACACCGCACACTCATGACTTCGCGCTTTCGAACCAAGCGTCAACCTCGGTGGCGCTTAACGTGGTCGTGTTACAGAAGGAAAATACGCGCAAGGCACAGGAGGCCACCCAGCGTCACCTCCGGCAGAGGAAGCAGGTCCGACACCTCGTGAAGGAGGTGGAGGGCAAGCAGAAGGAGGTGGGTCACGAACGCGGGACAACATGATCTGCACAAGTTCGGTTGTTGTCGCTGGTGTGTCTGGTCACGTTGCCAGTGACTTCATTTCATGTCTCCTGCCGTCACGTGTTTCGATCATGCTGGACCGAGCTTGTCTCTGATATCTGCCTGTCTCGTTCACAGGTAGCGGCGACGATGCGGGCGCTAACGGAGGCGAGACGTGACGGGGGGTCTCTCCGAACGGAGAGAGATGGCCTGAGGTGAGCAAAGCATGTGACGGAGAGGGAGACATCCAGAAACACTGTTGTTATTGTTGTTGTTGTTGCTCTGTTGCTGCTGCTGCTATTGCTTTTGTTGCTGCTGCTGGTGCTGTATGGTGCTGGTGCTGTTGCTGGTGCTGCTGCTGGTGCTATTGCTATTGTTGATGTTGATGCTGTTGGTGGTGGTGCTGCTGCTGTTCCTGTTGACGCGTTCACGATGCTGATATTGCTCCTTCTCGTTGTTGCTGTCGTTGTCGTTGTCATGGCCTCTGTTGCCCCTGGCGCTGATGTGATTGCACCCTTCCATCGTTTGCCTGCCGGTGTCTTGTTCACTAGCGCTTCCCTCGCCGCGAAAGAGGGCGCCCTCTCCGCGACACAGGACGGCGCCCGGATCCAGCGGGAGCAGGCGGTGGCCAATGCCCGGCAGCTCGAGGGCCAGGTGGAGGAGTTGCATGAGGTGAATTTCAATACAGCGCCTTGGGCAGACGGAGGTGCAACGAGCGGGGGCATCATTTGGCCCTGCCGCAGCTGACGTGTTGTTTTGTGACTAGGATGCAGAATGATCTTTGTGCTTTGTCAAGGCGAAACAGTAAAATGACGTTTGGACGGCGAAGTGTGTCAGTTTGAGGCCATATTTCATGTTTTTTTTGGTATTTCCGTCGATTTGGATTCGGTCCCTTGCTTGTTGACTTGCTTCATCCAATGTTTGCTTCGGCTGTACCCGTTGGTTTCACAGGCACTAACGCAGGCGCAGCGCCAGGGGGGATCTCTCCAAAGGCAGCGGAATGGCCTGAGGTGAGCAAATCATGTGGGCATAGGAGTTATCCAGGAACGCCGTTGGGATTGTTGTTGTCGTTGCTGCTGACGTTTACGATGGTGATACGATATATCTCGTGCTCGTTGTTGGTATCGTTGTCGTTGTCACCACTTTTGTTATTTGTTGCCTCTGGTGCTGATACAATTGCACTCTCTTCTATGGTTCATCTTTCGGCTTGTTCTCTAGGGCTGCCGTCTCCGCGATGGAGGACGTCGCCTGGGAGGACAGGAATCTGGCGGCAAACACCATCCAGCGGCTGTCGACGGCGCTGGAGGCCTCGCGCCTGGAAGTCACGGCGGAAGAGGAGGCCACTGCCGAGGCGAGGGCGGAGGCGGAGGAGCTGCGGCTGCAGCTGGAAGAGGCGTTGCAGGTGCGTGTTTGTGTTTGCGTTTGTATTGTTTGGCAGGCAGCTTGCTGTTGTAGTTGTGGTGTATGAGGTGGATTCCAATACAGCGCCTTGGGTAGACTGAGGTGCAACGAGCGGGGGCATCATTTGGTCTTGCCGCAGCTGACGTGTTGTTTTGTGACGAGGATGGAGGATTAACTTTTCTGTGTGCTTGGTCTAGACTAAGCGAAACAGAAAGCGGAAGTTCTGACGGCGAGGTGTGACAGTTTTGAGGCCATTGTTCATGTTTTTGATTTTCCCCGTTGCTTATGATTCTCTCTTTTGCTTGTTGACTTGCTTTGTCCCCATCTTTGATTTGGTTGCACCGTTGCCTGTACAGGCGTTGACGGAGAGGCAGCGTGAGGCCGATTCGTCGTCGGTAGAAATGGCGTCTGTTCGAACAGAGAGGGATGGCCTGAGGTGAACAAAGCATGTGGGCGGAGAGGGAGGTATCCAGGAGGACTGCTGTTGTTGTTGCTGTTTTGTTGCTGCTGATGCTGCTGTTGTTCCTGTTGACGCGTTCACGATATGATATTGCTCCTCCTTGTTGTTGCTATCGTTGTCGTTGTCATGGCCTCTGTTGCCCCTGGCGCTGATGTGATTGCACCCTTCTATCGTTCGCCTTTCGGCTTCTTGTTCCATAGGGTCACCCTCTTCGCAGCAGAGGGTCGAGCGGGGCAGTCGGTGGCCAAGGTCGGGCAGCTTGAGGGCCAGGTGGAAGAGCTGCGGGCAGCGCTGGAGGCCGCGCACCTGGAAGGCACGACGGGAGAGGTCGCCATTGCCAGTACGAGGGCAGAGGCGGAGAAGCTGCGGAAGGAGCTGGCCTCACAGAAGGTTCGTGTTTCTTTTGCATCGACCGCACTAACAGGCTGACCAATGAAATATTGCAAAAGACGAACACTTTCCAACCAAAGGGTAGGGACTCTACCGACAGGGAGGATGCAGGAGTTGGACTTCACTGTCCTGCTTCTCGTTCTCCGATGCTAACGTCGTCCCCCTGTACTGGGCTGCCTTCTATTCGAACGCACTTTACGCTAGTGCGTGTGGGTATTCAGTGTGTGAATTTGTTGGCAGGGAGCGTGTAGTAGTGTTGGTGCAAGGGATGAACTGCTGAACAGTACCTTGAGTAGACCGAGGTAACCAGCGGCAGCAGAACCTTTCTCTCCTGCTGCAGTTGACGCGTTGTTTGTGCTTTTCGGCCAGAAGGAAGAATGAGTCTACAATTTTCTTTGATCCCTCAGGAGGCGAAATATTGATGGACGTGTTGGCAGCGAGGTGTGTGACTGTTTTCGTTGGCTTTCGCCGTTGATTCTGTTTCTGTCCCTTGCTTGTTCACTTAGTTTAAGCCTTTCCCGTGTGTGCTTTGCCTGCATCGGGTGTCTCGACAGCACCTTGCGCGGCAGGTCGCGCTTCGTTGGGTGACCCGCCGAGGCGTCCAACGCTCTCGCCAGCTGCAAGTCTCGGCCTTCCCGCTCTGGCGGCTGGCGGCGGGGACGACTGCCGTCGAAAACCTCAGGATGGATCTAGATTCCAGCTCCAGCCTGACGTTTTCGACGGTAGCCGTCACCGCCGCCAGCCGCCAGAGCGGGAAGGCCGAGACTTGCAGCTGGCGAGAGGCGCACCGGTGGGTCACTCGACGAAGCGCGACCTGCTGCGCAAGGTGCTGTCGAGACCAGCGGTGCTGGTGACGCGTTGCTTTTATTGCGGTTACAAACAGTCACGTTTCTTTCGTCTTTCAAGCGACGAAATATTACATTAGTGTTTTTAACGGCAAGGTGTGTGACTGTGTAGAGCCTTATTTGAGGCCTTCACTATTTTTTCCCTTTGCTATTTTTTTCTGTCCCTTGCTTGTCCGCTGATCTTATCCCGTTTGTACTTTTTCTGCCCCGGTTGTCTCGACAGCGCCTTGGCCGGCATTTTGCGCTTGGCTGGGTGATCCAGCGGGTCGCCCGCTCTCACCAGCGACAGATCTCGGCCTTCTGGCGCTGGAGACTGGCGCCGGCGCCGGCTACCGCCCCAATCCTGAGGCAGCGGGAATGGGAGGAGAGCATCGGGAGCGGAGCTGTGGTCGCGGAGACCGCCCCCAGGAGGCGTGACGCCAGCGCTGAGCCGGCGACCGCCCGGGTCGAAGAAGAACGCCAGGAACCGCCGGACACAGCAACAGGTTCCGACAGCAGTGCCACCGCCACCGCCACCGCCCCCCAAGCCGCGGTGACCACGCTTGCCGCCGACCTCCGAACCCAACCCGAGTCGGCGGCGTCGGACGACGCCAGGGAGGAGAAAGGGGAGGCCCCGCACTGCGGGACGCGGACGGTGGCGGATAGGGTCCAGCATCTCGAGCGGCGGGAGGAGGAGGTCCGCAGCCAGAGGGAGGACGAGAAGGCTCGCGGGAAGGCGCCGTCAGGACAGCGGGAGGGGCTGAGGACGGCGGCGCAGGAGAACGCGAAGCAGGTGTGTGGTGTGTGTGGTATTCGGAGTGAATGTGTGGGAAGGGGAGCTTCTTTTGTCGTTATGTTTGGGGGGGGGAGGTAAGCGGTAAAACTGCTATAGAGCGCCTTGGGTGGACATGAACAAGGCAACATTGGCGGTCATCCATGTCAGCCACAGGGGCGGACGCATATCAGAGGTGTAAGCAAAGCAGGTTGACGTCAAATGAGGATGGCGCCAAACGCGTGCGTGTCTCTACTGTGAATACCAGGAGCAATACCAAGCTTGTACACCGCCTGTTGCTTGTGGATGCTACGATCACCCTCGATAGGATACGCCTCTTTGTAGACCAGGGATTTCGTCAAATAGCTTCCGAAAGACATGAGAGTTGACATGCAGCTGGGCCGGGACCAGTGTCTTGCCTTGGGGCAAATTCGTTTTGACACCGGAAGGAGTGTGTGCACCTCACACACCCTTCCTCCCCCTGTCCCCTTTGTTGCCATGATCTCGGGACATGCCTGTGTACTTGACGGACGCGACGAAATGTACTTGTTTGCCTTGGGGACTCGTTGGGATACTGGGGCTTTTCTCCAGGCGCCGAGCGGGAGGACACCCGAGGATGGTGCTGGTGCTGGTTCTAGTGATGGTGGTGGTGACGATGGTGGTGATGGTGAGTTGACCGATCGTTCTGGAGACGTGCCCCGTGTCTCACCAGACGCGTTGTCCTGTCGAAGGGGCACGAGGAATTGCAGCTAAAGTCACCTCTGCAGACTGGGACGATTTGTATCGAGTGACGTGCTCAGTTTGTTGTACCATCTAGGAAGCGTTACGGCTGGCGGCGGCGGCGGTGCCGGCGGTATGTAGCGGCAGAGCGAGCGCCCGTCGCCAACCCCGGGTACCGGTGTCCCGAACAAACATTCTACTCTGTTTGTCGGCGTTACTAGGCCCTATATTGGTCCCTCGTCTTCTGCAGGACTGAGGGCATCCGTCTTGAAAGAGGAGAGCTCGGACCGGTTCGCCTCGGCACCAGCACCGGCGCCGTCGCCCGTGTGCCGTGGACACTCATCCCCCCGAACAGGGGAGACTGGGTTCGCCGCGGCCAGGGGCGGAGGCGGGGCCGGCTGTGTGCCCGATGCCACCCGGCAAACGAAGGGTGGAGAGACGGTGAGTGAAGAAAGCGTTTCCTCACCAGTTGTGACCCTGCCTGTTTCCGTGGCGGATCAGCCGCCGAAGGGGTCACCCTTCGGCAGAGACAGCTCGAGGAGGCTGCTCCTAAGCGTTTCGAAGGTGCAACATGTGTTGTTGTTGCTGGGGGTGCTTGTATGAGGCAGGAAGTGATGGGTCCTACATGGCTGGTCGGTATTGGAGGCTGTAGTCGTTCGGACGGCGGCTTTTGACCCATTCGGCATCCAGGCCAGCAGTACCGATCGTGTTGTGTTATCGTGTGGCTGTGACACCAAGGTCACGCCCGCGGAAAGCCAGTCATCTCCCGGGAGCCGTTCGGTCTGAAGTGTACGGGTGACAGTCTTGAGTGGCGAGAGAGCGCTTCTGTATGTCACCGACACACCCTCGGTTCTTCTTGGTCATGCTTACCTGCGCCCTGGGTACTTGTCTATTTTTCATGTGTTGGTGTTTGTCGTTGTGTTGTCACCTAGACTACATGGACTTATACTTGTTCTTGTACGTGATTCGTTTCTGGGCGTCCTTTGGTCCGCCGCATGTTCAAGTGCGTCGTTCAGACTGTGTCTAACCTACAACCCCCCAGCCGCTCTATCTGAAGAGCCCCGACCGGGGGCCATACTGAAGAATCAAAGGACTTTGTTTACACCAGAAAATGTTTTTTCTGTTGCCCTTCCAAACCTCACTTCACTCCCCCCCCCACCCCGTCCTTGTGTCTTTGCGCTTCACGTATTTGCCCGGCGACCGAATTTCCGCGAAGCCGATGACGGGCTCGTCGGCACCGCCCATGAATGATATTCGCGGCTCTTCGCCCCAAGTATTGGAGGGCTTGTCCGCGTCCAACATGACGTCGGCGACGGGCGACTCAGAGCTCCAGGGTGAGTCGCCGTTGCAACAGGCATGGAAAAAAGAACAACGAGTTGACATGCTTAGGTTGCCTTGTACTTGTGGGAAGCGCACTGGAAAACGTTTTGCAATGTATGGCGTTATGGCGTTTTGTGCTGTCCCTCTGTTGACGCTTCGATGCTGCGGCGTTGTGAAGAAAGTTATGTTTTCCAACGGGGTCGATCAAACTGCGAAGGCCACCATGGTAGCTTGTCTGAGAATCTCGGTGGCCTTGCGCCAGGTTCGTTCAACATGCTCTCTTTTACTTGTTGAGCTTGTTGGGCATGTGTTCTTCCGTTCCGAGACCTTCCACGCCATTCGCGCTGTTTTTGGTGGATTCCAGGACCGCCATCAGCTGCCGCCTCGTCGTCAAACATGAATGACCTCGGCGACACGCTTCCTGAGAGAGCGGGGAACGGGTCCCACGCTGGCATTGACGGGGACAGGACTGGTTCCCGGCCGGAAGCCATCCGCACGTCGGACCTCCGGCTGCCGTACCAAGGGGAGACAGCGGTGAGTGGAATAATTTTGTCTCACCAGTTGCCACCCGGCCCTTTTTCGCGGCTGACGGGGACTCTTCTTGGGTAGCATAGTAGCGCTTCGGTTTGTCCCCGTCATGCATTCGACTGTTGTTGGTCATGCGCACCTGCTCTCTGCTTTCGTGTCTATTTTATTATGCTTTAGTGTTGTTCGCTGCGGTGCTTTTCCAGATGGTTCGTTGCGAAGAAGGTTGATTTTCGAGCACGGCCACCCCGCTCCTCTTGCTGGCCTACACACCAGATATAAATCCTGCCTCGCATGCCCCGTCACCCTAGATGAAATGTGCCTATTTGTAAAACACGGTGCTTGTCGGTCAGGATGCAGTCCGGGACTTCTTGCCGTTCTTTCGGGACCACTTCGATGTGACCATCCGGAATGTTCCCTCGGAGTCTGCAGTGTGCATCGGGAAGGCTCCCGACGGGGTGGTTAACGTGGCCGCCGAGTGCTTCGAGCATGGCCTTCGCCTTTGTCGCGATAACGATGTGAAGGTATGACCCGTGGTTTGTGCAAAGTCTTGTTCTTGAACTTGTTCACCCCCCAAAGTGTGTTTGAGCGCATGGAATTCGTGATACATTGAACGCAAAGTTTTGTTGACTTAATTGGTACACATGAGACCAGAAGGTCCCGTCACCGTTCGGGACCTGACGGGCTGATATCGGAGCATTGCCTGCCGAGTTGATCGCTTGCCAGCAAGCGATGCAACCGGAAACTTGCGAACCAAAGCAAGTATCAACGAACTCATCCGACCCAATGTGTCCCCTCACTTGCGGTCGTCCTGTTCAACCAGGCCGCGGATTTCCTTCTTCTGCGAGCCCGTGTCCGCTCGACACGTGACCCAGACGGCTCGCAGTACTTGCTGCCGTTGGAGGTCAGCGCCAAGCTGCGCAGGAAACTTCGTGATCTGGGCGACCGGTACGGAGTTGTGATCAACGGCGTACCGTCGAGATCGGAGGGGCTTGGGTCTGGAGGTGGCGGCGGCGGCGGCGGTGGGCTACCAAAGTACGTCTGTTGTCCCAGGGTGGACACCGAAGACAACACACAAGACCATCGCAAGGTTGTGCAGATCTGGGGTCTGCGGAACTGTGTTGTCGGCGCCTTTGACCGCGTGGTGGCCAGCTTGTTAGACAACACGGAGTACGTCGTCAAGCTTGGTCCCGTGGGTGCTGACGAGCTTAAAGGACTTAGATTCAAGGGAAAGAATGTGAGTCCCACGCGACGCATCGCAGACCAAGCCAGCAGCTGTTGGTGTTTAAAGCCGTCTTGGGCCTGCACGCTGGTTGCGGAACGTTCCATGGTATTCGGACTGGAAGGGTTTACTGTTACGGTATGGGTAGAACGACGGGGCAGCCGTATACTTTTACTTACTTTAGCGGACGTTGAATGGCTTGCGGGCTGAACGAAGGTTCCGGTGGCTGTATCCCTGCGTCCCTCGCATAAAACGCATGTTAGAGATGTATGTTTAGCGTCCGCCCAACACGTTCCTTCGTTTGTTCGGCTAATTGTCGTTGGACAGGCAAAAAAACGGATAGCTGTTGACCCCGTTCTGAAGAGCCCTCGCTCGCGGGTTGTGGTACGCACATCACAGACTCTCCATGTTTGGGGGGCATGCTGTTCGAGTCGGTGCTTTCGATGTCGGGAACGGCGTCGTTCATGAACGTTTGGATGTAGACTACTTCTGTTGTTTCGAAACACGACCCTGTCCTTTTGGTGCCGATGTCAAACGCCGTTGGCAGGTGAACTGCTTCACCGAAGGGGGCGTCACAGAGGTACGGATCTCGGGCAGACCTCACCTTGCCGACGCAAATATCAGCACAGTCCTGCAGTCCATGCCGGAGGTCCTGCCAGATCAAGTGCAATGCGTGAGTGGATCGTTTTCTGTCGCGGGGCTACTCTGTGGTTATGTACAGAAATGGTTCGGCCTCATACGGACGATTCGTGCCTTGAATATTTCCCAGTTTCATGGGGTAGTCTTGAGAATATACTGTATACTGGTGCGGGACCGTGTATGGTTGTACCTTGGCATGTTGGCTTACGAGCCCCCTGATGCAACGGGTGTGCTTGCGAATACCTTTGGCTCGTTCAGGTGGACATGAAGTGTACCGGCGCCATGCGAGCTTTCAGCAGGCCCTGGGCTATCGATGAGATCGCGCGAGCCAGCGGCATCGACCAATCGCAAGTCAGAGTCACTCCGCAATGGCAGAACAAGTGCATGCTGCTGCAGGTGCTGAAGCTCGGTGGCGACCGTGGGGCGATCCAGGGGATGGTGAGCAGTCTGGAGTGTTGGCCCGCTTCGGATTGAATCCAGGCATCTTCCGTGCTCTCTACATGTATGCAGGTTGGGAGCTCTTAGGCGAGGACACACTTGCAAGCTGAACTGTGACGACGGGAGTTGTGTTGGTTCCCTTTTGGTTGCGTAGCTTCCCGTGCTCTTCCTTTTCGTTTGGTCGATCGAGGAGGAAGTGGGTGCGGGGAGGCAACGGGTAGCTTTCAAGACGAGTGCTCATGTCAAGACAACAAGCAGCGGTAGTGATGGCCTTCCTCTCTCTTCCTCACGCACTAACGCCACGGGATAACGTCCTGTTGGGAGATTATTTAGTGGTGTACGACTGGGGATGGCGATGTACCACGCCCAAGCAGATTGGCCGACGCATGGCTTGGGGCAGTCGGCATACCTCAATCTTAAGGGACTGAATGAGATTCGGGTAAGCGGCACGCGGGACCGTGGAAAGGGGCAAGGGCACAGGGTGTAGGCGAACTTTTTTGTAGCAAGTACTTCACTTTAGATACGGATCAGCCAAGCCTTGACGTGAATTTGTACAGCCAGCCACCGAAAGCTGACGGTTGTTCACAACGTAGTGATTTTGGCTTTATCTCTGTTGTCCCCCACGCATCCCATCGCGTTTGTTGCTTTTGGTGCCCTGATATATTCAGTGCACCTTCCTCGAGGGCCGGGTGAAGGAGTGGCGGGGGCGACGCTTGGTCGTTACCCTTACGGCCGAAATCATCGACAAGGCCAGAAAGTGTTTTTTTTCAAGCGGAAGTGCTGGCGAGTTCCACTTTTGCAGCTTTTTCGTGGCCTCGCTGTCGGAGGAGATCGGAGAGGACCTATGGCTGGACGGCTTCCAGCTGACGGCCCGAGCCGACCCCGATGACCGAGACAGCGCCCAGGCCAAGCTGGAGACGATGGTAAGGCCGAGGCTTGTCGAGATGCCAGAAGAAAGGTATTGATGACAATCGATTATGAGGTTTGAGCGCAATGCGATCGTGACCATGCCACGCCCAAGCATTCCTCAGGTAGCACAGCCTCGCTGCGACAAGGTGTGCGTGACCACCCTCAATTTCTAATCATCTCACACAACAAAATATCGCCTGAATACATTCCGATGGAGTTTCATAGCCTAGGTTCCGAAGGACATTCCATTAGGCTTGTGGCTGGACCGGGATACGGCTGCTTTTTTTCCTTGGAGCGACACTCGTTGTAAGATAGACTACTCACCTCACAAAACTTCAAACTTTTCTCCCCCTCGCCCCTGTTTCCATGACCTCGGGACATGCTTGCGGACGTGCGGACGTGGCGAAATCAACTCGTGTACTTTGGAACTTCTTGGAACTCTGGGGGTTGTCTCAGGTGACACGTTTTAGGGAAGCAATCGGTGGTGGTGGTGGTGGTGGAGAAGGAGGAGGAGGTGATGGTGCAGGAGGAGGTGCTGATGGAGGAGGTGATGGTGACCATGGAGGAGGAGGTGATGGTGACCATGGTGGAGGAGGAGGTGGTGATGGAGGGGGTGATGGTCGAGGTGGTGGAGGAGATCCAGGCTGTGGAGATGGCGATCATGGTGGTGGTGGAGGTCGAGGTGGTCGAGGTGGAGGAGGACGTGATGGTGCCCATGATGGCGCAGGAGGTGATGATGATGACCATGGTGGAGGAGGAGGCGATGGTGCCCATGGTGGAAGCGGTGGAGGTCGAGGTGGTGGTGGTCGTGATGGTGGTCGTGGTCGAGGTGGTGGTCGTGGTGGCTACCGGTTGAGCTGGCAGATGCGGACTGCGTGGAGGTGGATTGGGGCTGAAAACACCGTGGAGCAGCAGCAGTTGGCGTCCCCCCCTAGGGGTGCTAGCAGGACCTACAGGGGTGGTCGTAGTGGTGGTCGTGGTCGTGGTGGTGGGTTACATTAAACTGGACATCAGTGTGCGCACATTGATTGCTCGCGACGTGGGTCTACTTTGCACGACTCTCACTGGTGTCGCCGGTGGTGACGTTATTTTATGCGGGTGGTGCATCACGCACATCCAACGCCGCTGTTTTTGCGGTTAGTCCGTTCGGGAGAGGCAGACTGGAAAGCTCGACCCCACGGAACGTAGCCACCTAACCAGCCAGCATGCGACACCCGCCTATCAATGCGTCACCACCTGTTACGGTGTATGGTGAACGCAAGAGCGCGCTAACGTAGGCAGAGGTTGTTATAGACTATGCAAAACTTGAAGTAGTTAATAGTTTCGACACTCGATAAAGACAGCCCACTTTGTTCTATTACCTGTTTTTCAGCGATCCAACTGTCAAACGTAGGTAGGAATCTGTAAATCGCCGGCTTTGCCGAATGCCAAACACATACCCACATGGCACGCATCGTTTATTTGCCATGCCATGTAACAACGACAACCGATTGTGCCAGCATGACAACATGTAGACTAGATCTAGAAAACATTTGGAGCCCTCCCCGTTCGTTCATGCCATGAGCATCGAAACGGAACCCTTGTGTTCACGAAACAACCCGACCAGTCACGTCTCACAACCAAATTTCGACAGCGACTGCTAGGCGAGTCCTTTCCGTCGCGAACTACACGTGGAGATACAAAAACCGCATGGATGGACGAACCGTCCCACGGTGTCTACTTTAAGGGTATAGTGTTATGTAAACAGCGTCGTCAAAACAAGTATTTTTTGCTTTCTTTCGAGTTGCGCTTGACATTATTTTCTAAATCCCGAGCGAAGAGAGAGATACCAAACTGGCAGAGAACACGTTTCCCGCAGACATCTTTCTGCGGCCTTTCTATCATGCTTCTGCCTCGCTCCCAAGATCGACTGTCTCTCTTTCCCTCCAAACACCAGCCAAGGGTGCACTTTCCTGCGGTGGAAGGAACCAATCTTCCTGCACACAGCAGTCTCAGATCCAAGTGCCCACAATGGTACCCTACCACTTTGTTCGCCTCACTTGGCTACTGTGCAAGTACTGTTGCATACTTGAGGCCGCCCTCCCCTTTTACCCCACCTTCGAAAGAAAGGGGGTGGGGTGGTGGAGAAAATACCCAACTTGTTGTCAGCTCCTGAGCTGGCACACCCCTACTGTAGAAGCCTTGTATGTGTCCACCTCTCTCTCTCGTTGTCTCTGCGCTACTCTCTTTCTCTCTCTCTCTCTCTCTCTCTCTCTCTCTCTGGCACGCTCAGACTCTGTGAACACTAGACATGGACAGAGTGATAGCTGTTCGTATATGTCCTTTACTTGGAAGGGGAAGACGTTTTATCTCTTGTATTAGACACGCAGGGGGAGTAGGGAGAAGTGAAGCCCTCTTTGGAGTTCGAGGGGTCCCCGCACATGCAACCATTTCAAGGTGTACATATGCCCCATCTGCGTGCCCTCTGTTGTTGCCGGTAGATCTGACCTGCAGTCCAAACACACGAACACCCTCCTCGGTTTGCACGCGAATGGCAAACCTAACGTGGGACATGGATACCCCTGATCTACCAAGGGGACTCAGAACAACAACAGGCTCGAGGGAAAACCCGGCCAACCGGATCAAAAACCCTCGTCTAATGCCCTAAATATAGACAACCGTCGCTATCACGGAGGATTCCAACGGCCGCACGTCCAAGACAAGACCAAGGCAGGACAGATTGAACCGGTTACGCTGATTACACACCCCAAGCAACGCTCTCGGCGTTTCTAGGCTCCAGCCGCGGGTGACGCGCCGGCACAACGCTTCCTGCGTGACGTACCATGGTCATATATGCCAAGTGCTAAAACCACCACATAGTCTACATAAACCAAACAGAACAGAGAACACTACATCGGGAGGTTCATCCGAGCCTTCCGGTGGTACTCTAACTTCTCTCTGCCAAGGACCTTGGCCAGCATGTCGGCGTGCTGCTCTCCAGTCGGAACATACTCTGCAGTGATCTTGCCCGACTTAAATAGCTCGCGAATGAAATGGAACCGCACGTCGATGTGCTTGCTCCTCGCTGAGCTGAACGGGTTCTCGATTAAGGCGAGAGCCCCCTTGTTGTCCTCAAGGACCTTAATCTTCGCCCCACTCGTCTCGGGCGCTATGAACCACAGAACGCCACGCACAAGCGATGCCTCCTTCACGCTCTCCCCGGCTGCCATATACTCTTCTTCCGAGGTCGACTGAGCCGTCACTGGCTGCGGCTTGGTAGATGCACACACTACGGTACCACCTACGGTCACAGCTAGCCCGGTCGTAGAACGCCTGTCTACTTCGTTGTCAGCGTAGCTGGCATCGACAAACACGCTTAGGTCTAGTCCTGACCCCCGTACGTAGGTGATGCCGAAGTTCTTCGTGAAGTTCAGGTAGGACATGATCCGCACAAGCGCGTTCCATATCCTCCAGGTGGGTGAGTGGGTGATCCTCTGGAGGTTGTTCAGAGGCAGGGCGATGTCTGGCCTCGTCAGCTTCGTCCACATCAGGCATCCGATCGCCTCCCTCACAGGCTTAT